TTTAAAAACAAGAACTTCGGCAAGCAAAACAAGGAAGAAGAACCACAACACATCATTCACATAATCATCGGCGGCGTCGATACCCCTCAGGAACCTATGCTCAAACGCGTTAAAACGTCGATTGTGAGGGAAAAGCGATCTCGAATTCAAGATTACACTCCCTCAGGGACTTTATCGTTCAATGATGAAGACGCAGAGGGAATCATCCAACCCCATAACGATGCACTAGTAATATCCATACTCGTGAATAAAATTAAAATTAAGCGTGTATTAATTGATCCAGGTAGCTCGGCCAATATCATCAGATCGAAGGTCGTACAACAGCTCAGCCTACAAAATTGGGTCGTGTCCGCAACTTTGGTTTTAAACGGATTCAATATGGCATGCGAAACCACCAAAGGCGAGATAACCCTACCGATAAACGTCGCCGGAACAATTCAGGAAACAAAGTTTCACGTGATCGAAGGCGATATGAGATATAACGCCCTTTTCGGAAGGCCGTGGATCCACAACATGAAAGCGGTACCTTCGACCCTACACTGGGTCCTCAAATTCCTAACACCGACAGGTGTCAAAATAGTGTACGGAGAACAACCAGCCGCAAAGGAAATGTTCTCCGTCGAGGAGGTGAAACCAACATCTTCGTCTTCGCCGGTGAATGGATCGGGTTCAAAAGGAGGCACAGTCGAAGACCGGAACGCCAAATAGCAACCAAAGACATCGGACTCGACCCAGCCAGATAAGCAGGGCATCGAAGAAGATAATGATCAGTGGATCCCTCGATCCCTCGTGACCCCCGATGACTCCGATGCCACCAAATCAACTATTGAGGAATTGGAGCAAATCATTTTGATCGAACATTGGCCCGAACGTAAGGTATACCTGGGAAGAGGTTTGAGCCCCGAACTCAGGAAGAAAATCATTCAATTTCTTATCGATAACATCGATTGCTTTGCTTGGTCCCATTTAGATATAACAGGAATCCCGCCGGACATAACGACACATCGACTAAGTGTGTCCCCTAGATTCAGACCGGTGAAGCAAAAAAGAAGACCCCAATCGGAGGTGAAGCACGCATTCATAAAAGATGAGGTAACTAAACTGCTCAAAATAGGATCCATTAGAGAGGTAAAATACCCCGAATGGTTGTCCAATGTGGTCATAGTGCCTAAAAAGGGAAACAAACTTAGAATGTGTATAGACTACAAGGACTTGAACAAAGCATGCCCCAAAGATTCTTATCCACTGCCCAACATCGATCACTTGATCGATGCCACAGCCGGCCACGAGATCCTCACTTTTATCGATGCCTATTCCGGGTATAACCAAATCCAGATGAACCCGGAAGACCAGAAAAAGACTTCGTTTGTAACCAGATATGGAACATATTGTTATAACGTAATGCCCTTCGGGCTAAAACATGCAGGAGCTACCTATCAACGTCTAGTAAATAGAATGTTCGAAGAACAAATAGGTAAATCAATGGAAGTCTATATTGATGACATGCTAGTCAAGTCCCTGCGCGCAGAGGACCATTTGACCCATTTGCAGGAAACATTCGATATTCTGAGGAAATACAACATGAGGCTCAACCTCGAAAAATGTGCTTTCGGAGTCGGCTCGGGTAAGTTCCTCGGCTTCATGGTGTCAAATCGGGGAATCGAGATTAACCCAGACAAAATCAAGGCCATTGAAGACATCACCATCGTGAACAGCGTGAAAGCTGTGCAAAGGTTAACAGGAAGAATAGCAGCCTTAGGCCGATTCATTTCGAGATCATAAGATCGGAGCCACAAATTTTTCTCTCTCCTAAAAAAGAAGAACGACTTCGCTTGGACACCGGAATGCCAACTAGCGTTACAAGAACTGAAAAGATATCTATCGAACCCACCACTACTGCACACTCCAAAAACCGACGAAAGACTTTACCTATACTTGGCGGTATCAGAAGTCGCCATAAGCAGTGTCCTTGTTCGAGAAGAGGAAGGTACGCAATTTCCTGTTTACTACGTAAGTCGGACCTTGGGGGAAGCGGAAACTAGATATCTGCACTTGGAAAAATTAGCGCTTGCGTTGATTAGTGCCTCTAGGAAGTTACGACTGTACTTCCAATGCCACCCCATAAGCGTATTAACAACCTGCCCACTTCGTAGTATTTTACATAGGCCTGAACTATCGGGCCGATTGGCCAAATGGGCCATCGAACTCAGTGGGTATGATATCGAATATCGACCTCGAACGGCCATCAAGTCCCAAATTTTAGCAGATTTCGTGGCCGATTTCACACCGACCCTCGTACCCGAAGTCGAAAAAGAATTACTGTTAAAATCAAATTTATCGACGAGGGCATGGATCCTCTTTACGGACGGAGCTTCGAACGTAAAGGGGTCCGGGCTAGGCATAGTTTTAAAATCTCCCACGGGTAACATTATTAGGCAAGCTATTAAAACTATCAGGTTAACTAACAACGAGGCCGAGTATGAAGCCATAATTACAGGTCTCGAGCTAGTTAGAAATTTGGGAGCGGAGGTCGTTGAGGCCAATTGCGACTCTTTGCTGGTGGTGAGTCAAGTAAACAAAACCTTCGAAGTCCGAGAAGGCAGAATGCAAAGGTATTTGGACAAACTGCTTATCACTTTGAACCATTTCAAACAATGGAGTCTACGACATGTTCCACGAGAACAGAATAACGAGGCCGATGCGCTTGCTAATTTGGGATCATCGGTCGAGGTGAATGATTTGAACTCGGAAACTGTCGTTCAACTTTCAAGATCTGTAATCGAAGAAGGGCACGCCGAAATAAATTCTACTAGCTTAACCTGGTATTGGAGAAACAAGTATATTGAATACTTAAAAAACAGAAAGCTCCCTTCAGACCACAAAGAATCCAGGACCCTTCGAACTAAAGCTGCTCGATTTAGTTTGACTGCGGACGGAGCGTTATATCGAAGAACATTCGATGGACCGATGGCGGTATGCATAGGTCCGGGAGATACCAATTACATCCTCCGGGAAGTACACGAGGGCACTTGTGGCAATCACCCCGGTGCCGATATGTTAGTTCTAAAAGTGATCAGAGCAGGGTATTATTGGATCGATATGGGCAAAGACGCAAAAGAATTTGTTCGTAAATGCGATAAATGTCAAAGGTTTGCTCCAATGATCCATCAACCCGGAGAACAACTTCACTCGGTCCTATCCCCATGGCCATTCATGAAATGGGGAATGGACATCGTCGGCCCCCTACCATCGACCCCAGGTAAAGCCAGATTTATTTTGTTTATGACTGACTATTTTTCTAAATGGGTTGAAGCGCAGGCGTTCGAGAAAGTAAGAGAAAAAGAGGTTATCGACTTTTTGTGGGATCATATCATATGCCGATTCGGGATACCATCCGAAATAGTATGTGATAATGGGAAGCAATTCATTGGCAACAAAATCACAAAATTCTTCAAAGACCACAAAATAAGAAGGATACTAGCAACCCCATACCACCCAAGCGGAAACGGACAAGCCGAATCAACAAACAAAACTATTCTTCAAAACCTGAAGAAGAGATTGAACGACGCTAAGGGAAAATGGAGAGAAATCCTGCCCGAAGTCCTTTGGGCATACCGAACAACATCGAAATCCAGTACAGGGGCGACCCCATTCTCCTTAGTATATAGCTCTGAGGCATTGATACCAGTCGAAGTCGGAGAGCCTAGTCCCAGATTTTGATTCACGACGGAAGAATCAAATAACGAGGCCATGAATACCAGCCTTGAATTATCGGATGAAGGACGGGAAGCTGCCCTCATCAGGTTGGCCGCACAAAAGCAACGAATCGAAAGGTATTACAATCGAAGAACTAAACTTCGCCACTTCAAGCCAGGGGACTTGGTGTTAAGGAAAGTCACCATCAATACTCGCAATCCAAACGAAGGAAAACTAGGACCAAATTGGGAAGGACCATACCAGGTGCTCGAAAACTTTGGGAAAGGATCGTACAGGCTCGGCATCATAAACGGCAAACAGCTATCAAGCAGTTGGAATGTATCACATCTAAAACGGTACTACTGCTAAAGTCCGACCTTTCCCATATTCATTCAACTATCCCGCACAGAAGTTCGAACAAAGAACAGAAGTATTCTATTACTCAAAAGCACGTGTTGCACTCTTTTTTTCTTAGACCGGTTTTTTCCCAAATGGGTATTTGCGGTAAGGTTTTTAATGAGGCAACCATCGATTGTGCTGCGCTTTTAAAACAGTATCCGAGGCTTTCGACCCTTAGAGGAAAAATTGTAAGAGCCAAAATGGTCAAAATAAACCATGCTAATACAGATGTACAATGACTTGAGATTTATTATGCAACCAACCTGCGGGCATATCGAGTTCGAAATAAACACTCGAATATTAAGCCCACGGGCTACTTCTATATCGAGTTCGAAATACTGAGTCGACCGTTGAGCCTACGGGCTACTTCAACATCGAGTTCGAAATAATCACTCGAATATTAAGCCTACGGGCTACCACATTATCTCGAGTTCGAAATAAACACTCGAATATTAAAGCCCACGGGCTACTCTTATATCGAGTTCGAAATACTCAGTCGACCGTTGAGCCTACGGGCTACTTCAACATCGAGTTTGAAATAATCACTCGAATATTAAGCCTACGAGCTTCCGCATTTTCTCAAGTTCGAAATAATCACTCGAATATTAAGCTTACGGGCTACCACATTATCTCGAGTTCGAAATAAACCCTCGAATATTAAAGCCCACGGGCTACTTCTATATCGAGTTCGAATGTTAAAACCTACGGGCTACCGAGTTTGAACGAGGGCCCAATCAAGTTTGAAACATTGAAAAAGCTGCGTTTACTCAGGGTTTACGTTAACCACCACACTATCATCAACTCAACAAGCAAAACGTCACTCCAAATCTGATCGATCAAAATCGACCTTGTTATATATATAAAATTGCCTACGTAATTAATTTACAGATATGGAGAGTTAGACTCTAAGATTCTGGGTCGGGGTCTTCCCCACCCTCGGACCCGCTTTTGCTACCGTCATCGTCATCATCATCAGAAGCCAAGGCTTCAGCCTCTGCTTCAAGCTCTTTTGCCTTTCTTACCTCATCGATAAGGTCGAAACCTCGAGCATGTATCTCCTCGAGGGTCTGCCTCCGAGATCTACACTTAACAAGTTCGGCAACACAATGAGCTCGAGCATCGGCAATCTTCGCAGCTTCCCGGGCCTCCACCTGAGCGGCCTCAGCATCAGCTCGATATACAGCAATAGACTTATCCGCCAAAACTTTCGACGACTCAACCTCCGCCTTAGCCTCAGCAAATCGTATCTCAAGCTCATCAATTTTCTTAGCCTGAACCGACACTTTTTGCTTGACGTTTCGAAGCTGAACGTCGGCTGATAATAACTTTGTTAAGATGGTTTCTTTCTCCGCTGCCAGACGGTCAATAGTCTCCTTCCACCGGTTGCATTCGGCCCGAATTTGATCGGCCTCCTCTCGGAGTAGCCCGATCTTCTCGATTTTTTGCTGCAACTGAGACAACGAAGGGTTAACTTCCACAGTCGAGTCGAATCCATACTTTAACAGAACGAGGCTCACCTGCTGATCGAGCTCAACCCTTTCTTCACGAACCATAGGGAAATCATATCGTTTCTCGTCATCTCCTTTCCAAGAAACGAGGGGGCTATCTGTATACGGTTAAAACCGGTCCTCGATCATGAAAATCGATCGAGGATGGCATCTCAGTCAAGGGGTATCTTCATGGAGAACCCGATCGAATTCTGAGACGGGGGCGTCGAGCTTGGGGCGTCCGAATCGACCAAGGTAATGTCGACCGGTACTGGTCCCGAACATCGATCATCAAGCTCGAAACCAAGGCCAAGGTTCCGATCCGACACCGAGCTCGAGTCTGTATCGAGCTCACAGACAAAAAGCTGTTACAACTGCACTAAAGGAGAGAATCTTGGCGGGAATTAAGGAGGAGACACACTATCATGGGTCCTCCACTAGTAATATTTTTCCATTACGCTGCTAATGATAAAGTAGTGATCCTTGGCTATAAAAGGAAAAATAGATTGTAATAGAAGACATCTTCTGTGGGATAAAGAATTCATGGTGTTTACCTTTCTAAAGCTCACTAAGTATCTTTGTTCATCATTTCCTATTTTACCTCATAAATAGGTGTATTGTTATATTCAGATCAAAGGAATCTACTTACCCTTAGAACCATACATAAATTCAACGTTATCCGATTTTTCGGGTAAACAAATGCATCACAAAACATAAAAATGAAGACCATATCCTCTATGAGACACATAAGAGCAGAAAATCTGCTTTTCAGATATCAGTGCAGACAGCCCTCATTGTGTATGAAATACTTGACAACAAAATGATTTAACTAACGAAGATAATCATGTTGGGTTTAGATACCGTCTTTTGGTCAGATTCAACCTTGCTGCTAAATTGCTCCAAGATAATTAATCTTGGCACAAGAGACTTCTCCTTCAAAATATATGACTGTCAAATCTTAACGAAAAAAAAAGGAAAATGAAAAAGAAAAAGAAAAAGAAAATGAAGTAGCAGTGAAATTCCATTTGAGGAGAAGTTGAATTTCTGGGACTGTTCACATTAAAGCTCGAGGTTTTATTCTTTCTAGAAGTCCATGACATGAGACATAAATGATCGTTTAAGCTGGTTTAACATTCGGCAAAAGTTTGGCTGAATCTCACCAAGAACAACTCTCAACTCTTGAATTTAATTTTCTAATGAATTACGTTGAGGAATAGTTGGTTCAGCAAATGAAATGTAATCATTTGGAAATTTTCTATTATCAAGACGGTAAATGCGCTTTTGGTGCCCCATATCATAATATTTTTCAAGATGCTACTAAAAGATATGCTTTTTGATTAGTCATCATGCTTATCAAAATAAAGCATGGCATACAATTGATTAGAACAATAACTAATGGATGACTAAATAACAGTTTCCTAAAACCCACATTAAACTACGAAATAAATCCATAAAATCAGATAAAACTATAGATGACATCCATTAATGTGGATTCTTAATTCTTTTCAACTAAGATGTATAAAACTTGAACTCTTATGCTGGGTAAAAGGTATATCATACAAGACTCTGGAATGCATAAACTATTTCAAGGCTATACCTAATGAAATGGATAATCAATAGTGGATTTCAGTGTTCTAGCCTTCTAGGTAACAAGCTTGATATGTGAGATAAACTTTGGTGTGCACAAGAATAATCATGCATTTAGATCCAAGGATACAAATGAATCCTTAAAAAACCATGCAAGCACCTAACATGTCTCAGTTAGCATCCAACCAAACTAACCATTGTGCAAGTTCCACATAAGCTGGTACAAAGTTCCAGTGCCAATATCCTACAACAGCCAGTCTCTCACCTCTTTAGACTCTGGATACCAAAAGTCTTCTTGGTCTATTTCGACTCCATCATATCTCATGTTTCCCTTATCAATCACTTAACAAGTCCATTATATGAAATCCAAGTTCCCCTGGTAAGCCCCAATACACTCTTTCTAAGAGAAATATGGTAAACATAAGATGCCGACTATTGCACAAGATTATTCCCCTAAAAAAAACACAGTTCAGAGTGGAATCATTATGTTTAAACTCTAAGGTGTGTCTCCTTCGAAATTGCCATATGAGTTTTTCTATCGTATAAACATTAAGAAAGACAAGATCACTATCTGCCATGAAAATACAGAGCTCTTACAACGAGAATACCTGACATAATTCAGAACCCATCCAAAGATGAAAAGCTTTTGACTCCACCAAAAAAGCTTTAGGATACTTTAGTATCAAAATTGAGAAGTCATTCAGGTAGTTCGAATGATCAACCAATAGGATATTATAGGTATAATCTTTTCATGACAAATAAAAGGCTCCTGTGCTCTCTAGTACCTAATATTTCCATGTTTCTCATCAATTGATAATCTTTATCTAGGCTTACAGCATCACAATCACATTCTTCTCAGGAAGGCCAAGCCGTGTGGTAGAAAAGGGTAAAATAAAGAAAAGGAACTTCACTAGAAGACATACAAGAGACCTACTGTACAGTAGCAAATGGTGGTTTCTTCAAACATTAGCTACCAAGTTCTTGTGCAGTGTGGGGAAATGACAGGAGGAACAACCAAATCCTGACTCAAATAAAATGTAGAGGTTATCCCCGAGCTAAATGGGACTAAAATAGTACGACATACTGCCTGCATGCGGATATGCAAGTTTATAGCCTTTAGGTTGGATAAATGACCAATATAAATATTTCTAACAAACGGTAATAAAAGAGGCCTCATGAAAATAAGGACAGGTTGGCTAGAAACATACCCACTCAACCAGATTCTCCTGCCCTGAAGGCTGAGATGTATCCACTGGCTTCCTTCCAGTAATTAGCTCCAGAAGCACAACCCCAAAGGAATATACATCAGATTTTTCAGTCAGCTTTCCGGTCGATGCATATTCAGGAGCCATGTATCTGAGTTCAATCTAAGGAATTAGAATAAATATGGGCAATTGAAAAAGATGGAGTTCAATATAATATAGTAATTCGTATGCTTCCAACTTAATGCAAATGTTGGCACTGAAACATACCCAAATGTTCCCACGACACGTGTTGTGATATGACTTTCTGCATCCTGAGCTAATTTAGCCAGTCCAAAATCAGAAACCTAGAGAAAATAAATTAATTGTAAAGGGCCAGCTCGCAAGACAAAGAATGTAAATATAGGAGTTTGAGGACTTAGACATACCCCTGGAAAAAAAAAGGAAAAAAGAAAGACTTAGACATACCCGAGCCTCAAAGTTATTATCCAAAAGAATGTTCGATGACTTAATGTCTCTGTGAATAATACGAGGACAGCCTGTCACCCACACCAAAGAATAAGTTAAAACCAAAAAACAGAGTATCATACTTGAACTATAATTAAAGACGAATTGGAGCACCGCACTCGCATTATGACATCGTTAAAGTGTGCCTGCAGTAGCTCAAGTAACTAGAATGAAGGAAATGAGCATTCATGATCACAAAAATATAGTAACTTCGTCCAGTTGAGTTTCTTTAACTCTTCAATTTAACAGTATAACATAAGAACTCGACCAGTGAAGTTTTACTCAGATGCTTGTCATGGGACTATTGGCAAATCCAGAAGCATATTACGCACTACTACCGCAAAGCCTGATGATGTCACTTTAGCGTGAAAGATATACTCAGCATGTTCAAGGAGACTGTGTGCTCGTGGATTAAAATATTCCTACTCAGGAATGTTATTTCATGGTGCAAAATGTTTATATAATCGAGGTAATATACGAGATGAATAAAACCTTGAGGACACAATTGCAAATTGCATAAGTTATAGCATTACATTACAAAAAGGAAAATTCCAACAAAAAGATCTTGCTACTTCCATTGAGCTTACACTATTTATATGTTCCGTTTTCTCTTTTTACTTCAAGTCCTCTTATAAGGATAATAGGAGAATCTTGGCTTTGGAGTAGCTTAGGTTGCTTCCATTAACCTATCACAGTTGTTCAACTAGTGGAGTAGGGATCAATAAAATAAACCGTAAGTGATGACAAATAGGAACACACAATCTCATATTGCAATCAGATTCCCCCATATGGTAATGTTTTCAACCTGTCTTTCTCTCTTTAACTTTCGGGGGAAGGTAAAAGGAGACATATTTTGTTCAACCAGAAACGACATGAAGTTAAGATAAACACGGATAACTCAAAAGGATTAAGGAACAGATCACTAATTACAATCTTCGTGCAGATATGCTATTCCACAATCATACCAACAATTACATAATGACCTCAGACCTAAATTTTAAAGTGCATAAGTAATATCACTACTGTGTGTAACCGTCTTATTTAAAAACTTAAGCGGTTAGAGAGAGCATACTTTTAGTTACTTAATTATGTCTTCAACACACCCCTTCACGTGCGGACTTGATTCTTTTGTGATGAGCCAAGCACGTGGAATTTTTTTGATAATTGGCGGTGAAACTCGAACTCAGGACCTATGTCTACTCTGATACCATGTTGAAGTGTGTGGCCGTCTCATCTAAAAGCTTAAGCAGTTAGAGAGAACACACTTTTAGTTACTTAATTATGTCTTCAACAATTACATCACAAAAAGGAAATGGTAACTGCAAGGCCTTCTACTTCTATTGAGCTGAAAATAATTACATGCTTCCTTTTCTCTCTCTTTCTATTTTCCTTTTACTAAAGTCCGCTTTTAGGGGGAATAAGAGGAAGGTGATTGGGGAGATTAAATTGCTCTCCATGATTCTGCGACAGCTTTAGGGATCATTAAAAAATAATAAGCATACAAATAGGTGTAGAAAATATCAACTGCAATCAGCTTTCCTGTTGTGGTAAATGTTTTAACTTTACTTTCTCTTTTTTTTTTTAAGTAGGGGGAGGTCTGTTCAAAATGGAGAAATGAAGTGAATAAAACATGGATAACTCATAAGGATAAAGGGAAGAGAACACTATTACAATCTTCATGCAGATAAGCTATTCCACGAGCTGCGCCAACAGCAATTTTAACACGTGTTGTCCAATTCATGACAGGCCTCCCTTGTGCTGTAAATTGCAAGTATCAACAGCTAGCTTTAGTGACCACACATAATAATTGAAATAATTAAATCTACAAATGTTAAGTTTACCATGAAGATGGAAGTAAAGGGTATTATTGGGAACATAGTCATAAACAAGGAGGCGATTCTTCTCTGAAATGCAATAACCTACAAGTGAAACCAAATGACGATGGTGTATCCGACTAATGATTTCAACTTCAGCTCTGAATTCTCGTTCCCCCTGGCTCCCACCAATATTTAGCTGCTTTACTGCTACATATCTTCCATCTGCTAGACATCCTTTGTATACAGAACCAAATCCACCCTTCCCTAGTAGATTCTGTGCTGAAGAATCGTTCGTGGCCTCAATTAGTTCTTGATACGTAAACCAGGTCTTTGAACTGCTGAATCCACAAGGGTCCCCTGGAGAACCGAGGAAATTGGAGCCAGTTCCATTTATCTCAGGTGTTGATTCCTCGACCTTCAATAAAGCAGACTCTGTACACAACTTTCACATCTTCTAAGAATTCACTTGAAAGGTCTCAACTACCAATAGTACATTGATCTTTCTTGCAACACTGAATAACAAACTGAAAGGAATTATTTGATAGTTTCTGAAAATTTACCTGATTTTGGAGTGGAGCACACAGAGATTGTCTTGACATTACCAATATTATAGCCAGAATTCTTCTTCTTTCGCTTCCGTATACACCATCCAGCTGCTGCGATGAGACCAACCAATAGAAGAACAAGTACGATGCCGATGGAAACTGTCCCTGCAGTACCATTGCCACTACCACCAGCAGACTTTGAGCTTTCTGCTGGATGGTTTCCGGAACTATGGTTACTAACATCACCTGAAGGAACTGGTGATGAAGGAAGAGCAAGAGAAGGTTGTGTACCGTTAAAGGATGGAGGTGGTGATACTTGTATCACAAATGTTGGCGGTGATGAGTCTGAAGGGGAATCAGAAGATGGTGAGGTACTGGGAGTTAATGTAGCTGGTGAAGGTGGTGAATCTTTAGGAGGGCCTTAGGCTGGGGAAGGAGGTGGATTTTCTGATGGCTTAGATGTTGGGGATGGAGGTGAATTTGAAGGTGAGTTGGATGAAGATGGTGAAGGCGGTGAAGGGGGGGAAGGTGGTGAAGGTGGTGAAGGTGATGAACCTTTCGGAGGTTCCGGAGATTGTGGTGGAGATGAATTTGTGAGTGATTTTGGAGCTGGAGGAGGTTCTGGATTCTGTACGGGTGGCGGAGGTGACAATGTAGGGGGAGGTGATGCCGGTGATGGAGGTGAACTTGCAGGAGGAGAAGGAGTTGGTACAGGTGGAGGTGAGACAGGTGGTGGATCAGGTTCTGGAGGTGGTGGTGAACTAGGTGGCGGACTAGAAGGTGGAGGTGGTGGTGAACTAGGAGGCGGAGTAGAAGATGGAGGTGGTGGTGAACTAGCCGGCGGAGTAGAAGATGGAGGTGGTGATGAGCTAGCCGGTGGGCCAGAAGGTGTAGGTGGAGGACTAAAGGTTGGAGGTGAGACATCGATTGGAGGAGTAGACGCTTCAGGAGGTGGTGGAGAAGCCATTAGTGATTAATGTTGGTGATAAGGCTAGAAGAGGCTATGTTACATTTGTTGGAGGACAGTGAATTCCGGCATGAAGATGTTGCATTTGTTGGAGGGGATTCTGGAGGTTAGGATGGAGGAGAGGGTCACAAACAATACAGTGGACTGAAGGCAGTTAGTGGAATTCCAAAGTCTATAACTTGGAGGTGGAGAAATGGTTTAACATCTCACCACCATCTAAGCTGGTTACATTTACTAAAATTCCTATACAATTTTCAATATTTGTAAACATCAATGAAAGAGCAGTCCACCAAGAATTCCAAGAAAACTGCAGACTTGCTAACTTATTTCATAAAACCAACATTCTAATATGCAATAAACTGCTTCCTCTTAATCCAAAATTTATCTACAGTATCCAAATTCGCCAACCAATTCGCTCATACTATACAGACAGCATTTCCACTCCACTCCCAACAAAACGTTCAAGCTTTCGCATGAAATCAAATCTTCCCCACTACCTAGAATTCAGTTTCAGGTCTAAAGCAGAATCCAGCTGACAAGTTTTCTCCTTTAGCTAATTCACAAGAACAATCCCTCACACACTGCACAGACCCTTATATCAGAGTTAAGAAAAAATCAAATTTTCTAAAGAAGGCAGCCAGAAAATAATATCCACAACCAGACACCCAAATCAAGAAAAGGTAGAGAAAATCCAAGATTTTGTCCTTGCAATGTAGAATTTTACCCATTTAAAGCAAGTAAAATATAGAATTAACACTTTCTAAGGAAACCCCACAACAAAATAGGACCATAAAAGTGAATCAATTGTGAGAATATCCACAAAGCATTACCTATTTATTTCCATGCAACATGCATGATCAAAAGCTGGTGAATTGCAATTTTGCAGCTAATGCTCAACGTAAAGAATAAAAAAGGAGGCATCTTTTTGTAAACCTGGGAAGCTCATATCAATGAACAAGAAAAATTGGGTCCCCCCAAATCCAATATATAGGGCACAACAGTGAGAACGACCCCCTAATATGAATACAAAACTTTACAATTCATTTATGTGCGTGTATTGTATATGATGTACATGAGGAATATTTGTTTTTTTTACAATTATAATGTCGTAGTCATATAATGATCATAGGTTTATGAAGATTGAATTAGGTGTTTCGTTACAACGTCACCATCAATGGGATTGGGCGATGGTTGCGCAACGTTGCTGCGAATGCAAACAATCACAAGGCCCCATTTCTTTTATTCTTTTATCCACCTCTTCCCCATTATTTTTTAAAATTTGCCAGTTGAGTACGTTCTAATGTATAAGGAGTTTTTGATGGAAATAATATACTACAAATGTTTTACTTGAAAACTAACTTCATCCCTTAAATATTTTATAATTTTGATATAATACATAGATACCTCTTATTTTGTTCTGAACTTTCGACTACACACTTAAACTTAGGTGATTTGCGCAAATAGGATCATTCTAGATCTCTATAAGTCACGAAGTTACACACCCGAAATAAGAAATTACACTTTTAACAAGTTATGTCCTTATAGTTTACATGTCTTGCAGAAGGCAATGACTCTCTCATATTCTAGTTTTTGATCCGTAACGATCCGATCGGTCGTTTTGAGTATTTGCATTTCGTTCGGCTGTTTAAAACAGTGGCGAAGCCATATGGTCACAAGGGTGGTCAACTGACCACCCTTCATCAAAAAATTACATTGTGTATATATGTAAAATATTATATTTTAGATGTATATAACACATATTGAACACCATTTGTCGGGATATTTTTTCACTTCTTTCAAATTTGAATACTCTTGGGAAAGGTTCTAGCTTCGCCACTGGTTTGAAATCTTGAGTAGCTTCAGATGATATATTATAACTTGTGAGAATCATCGGTTTTGGTTTCAGGTGCCTCGAGATGGATTTGGAAGAATGAATCTCATGTTAAAAGTCTTAGGTTTGAAGAGTTGATCAACTTTGACTTTCATGTATTTGACCTCAGATCGGAGTTTTGATGGTTCCGTTAGGTCTGGATAGTGATTTTGGACTTGGGCGTATGCCCGAATTTGCATTTGGATGTTTCTAGAAGATTTCGGCAAAATTTGGCGAAAGTCGGCAATTTAGAGTTCGAAAAAGGCCAAATATACCCCTGTACTATGAGAAAAGGTTTAAATACACCCTTCATATATACTTTGGGTCCAAATATACTTGGATTGGTTCAAATATACCCCTCTTCTATTAAGTTTGTCCAAGGTGGACATCCAATCATACGTGGCACTAATATTTGATAAGGTGGATGCCACATGGCATGCCACCTCAACGCCCTTAATCTATATATAAAAGACTAAAATTTAAAATATAATATTTTTTATGGTAGCGGTAATGGTGGCCATAGTGGTGGAGGGAAAGGAAATTTTAGTAGTGAAAACAAATATGAGGGGTAAAATGGGTTAGGGGCGCTGAGGTGGCAAGCCATGTGGCTTCCACCTCATCAAATGTCAGTGCCACATAGGATTGAATGTCCACTTTGGACAAACATAACGGAAAGAGGTATATTTGAACTAATGGTATAACGACAGAGATATATTTGGACTCAAAGTATAACGAGGGATACATTTAAACCTTTTCTAAAAGTACATAGGTATATTTGGCCTTTTTCCGTTTGGAGTTTTGGAATGTTCATAGGTTTGACCGGGAGTTGACTTTGATGATATCTGGTTCGGATTGTTGTTCCGGGAGTTAGAATAGATTCATTACGTCATTTGAAACTTATGTGCAAAATTTGAGGTCATTCAGAGTTGATTTAATATGGTTCGACACGAGTTTTGGAAGTTGAAAATTTAAAAGTTCATTAAGTTCGATTTGAGGTTCGATTCCTGGTTTTGATGGGGTTATGTATGATTTGAGGCCTCGAGTAGGTTCGTGTCATATTTTGAGACTAGTTGATATGTTCTGACGGGGTCTTGAGGGGATTGGGTGTGTTTTGGACGGGTTTCAAATCATTTTGGGTCATGTTAGTAATGCTGGTTCTGGTCTTCTTCGCGTTCGCGAAGGTTGAGTCGTGATCGCGTAGTGCAATGAGGGGTTGTTTGATGTTTGTTCTTCGCGTTAGCGCTTCAGAGATTGCGTTCGCACTGGTTGAGGTTTTAAGTCTTCGCATTCGCGACCATGACTACGTGTTCGCGTAGTGTTGAGTGGTGCTAGTCAGTCTTGATGGGTTCTTCATCGCGTTCGCGATTGTTTGACCGCGATCACGGAAGTCTAGTAGTGTGCTTTATCACGTTCGCGAGAGTGTTTCCGCGAACGCGTATAGTAAAGTGTGGCAGTGTGAGTTTTTGCTTCACGAACGCGAGGCTTGTTCCACGTTCGTGAAGGGTACCCCTAAGCAGTGTATATAAGTATTCTAATTCGGACCCTTGAGTTATATTATTACATTTTGAGTTGGGGAGCTCGAATTTGGGCGATTTTGGAGGCGATTTTCACCACATAGATTGGGGTAAGTGTTTTCTACTTGGTTTTGATTATATTTCATGAATCTATCTTTGATTTTGGCATTTGGATTATGAATTTTAAAGAGAAATTGGGGTGTTTTGTCTAAACTTTCCTGAAGTGATTTTTGGGTTTTGAACATCGATTCAGAGTCGGATTATGGTTGTACTCGTAATTGAATGTATTGTCGGATTTTTATGAGTTTTGTCGAGTTCTGAGGTACGAGCTCGGGTTTGACTTTTTAGTTGACTTTGAGTATTTGATTAAAGATAGTCGTTCGGAGGTCGATTTGAGCAGGATGACGCTTCTAGTGTATCGATTTGGCTTGTTTGAGGTAAGTGTCTTGCTTAACTTTGTTGGGAGATTTTTTCCTACTAATTGGCATTATTTGCTACATATCGGGGTGATACATATATGAGGTGACAAGCGTATATGCATGTGCCAGGATTAATCATGCTTGGGGCTAGATTATACGATTATTTGTGACTTGTAAGATTATGTGACCTTCTTGTTCCGTGTATTACTTGACTTCTAGATTAATATAAATATGAAGTTAAATGCTAGAAACCGTGATCTAGCTTATAATAACCTGATTAAAATTTGACGAACTTTTTGTAAAATTATTGATGTGCTAAATTTGGTCGTTACTATACTTAATCATAAATACATCGATACGACCGTTATTCTTGAGATATTGAATATCATTTTGAGGTTTGTTGACATACTTGTACATTAAGGTTCTTGAGGTTTATTGAATTGTTATTGGTTTGAAATATGTGATTTATGTTCATTTGGAATATTCTCTTTGTGAGAATGCACAGGAGAAAATCTATATTGATCAATTAGTTATAATATAATGACCCCTATTTGTAACTACACATAATACAGATCCTACTCATGTTCAATATGGGACTCAGACTAATTACATATTAACTATCTAACACTCCCCCTGAAGCTGGTGCATACAAATTATATATACCGGCCTTGTTACATATGTAACTAATACGAGGACCAGTGAGGGACTTGGTGAAAATGTCTGCAAGTTGATTATTTGACTTCACAAACTTTGTAGCAATATCTCCTCAGAGTATCTTTTCTCTAACAGAATGACAGTCAATCTCAATGTGTTTAGTTCTCTCATGGAACACCGGATTTGATGCAATATGAAGGGAAACTTGATTATCACACATAAGTTCCATCTTGCCAATATCACCAAATTTCAACTCATTAAGCACATGTTTGATCCAAACTAGCTCATATGTTGCCACTGTCATTGCTCGATATTCTGCTTCTGCACTAGACCGAGCAACCACATTTTGTTTCTTGCACTTCCAAGATACCAAATTACCTCCTACTAAAATACAATATCCAGACGTAGAACGTCTATCAAAAGGTGATCTTCCCCAGTCCGCATCTGAGTACCCAATAATCCGCTCATGACCTCGATCTTCAAACAATAATCCTTTGCCTGGAGCTGATTTTATATATCGAAGAATGCGGACAACTGCATCCC